ACTTAAGTAATTAATCAGTAATTGATTCATTAATTAGTGAACCAATTATTTAAATTTGATTGCATATTAATTAATGATACTAATCGAAGGGAAGACAGAAATATTATACATTTTCAGTTAGCATTGTGAACTTATTTAAATTTGCATGATAAAATGGGCAATTAATTAGCTTTTCTCTTTGATAGTAAATGCCTTTTGATTGATACATTAACTGAAATGAATATATTTCAACAAATATGATTTTATTAATACTTCATAATTTTTTATACATTTGTATACAGCGGATTTTGATAGTATACTTTGTAAAATAATTGTTGCAAGCAATACTTTTCCATGGTCTGTAGCAATAACAGTTAAATTATATTTAGCGACTGTTTCTCGATCGAGCGTAGATTTTACAAAAATATTTCCAAATATGGGATGAATACCGAATTGAGAAATGTTTTTCTGAAAACTGTATGAAACTCTTCCATTTTCGTTGATATCTAAATCTTTTGCTTGAACAGTCAAAAGATCAGTCATTAGTGGCACATCTTCTGCTACCTGAAAAATTATTAAATCTATTTAAAATAAAATTCAGTAATTATTTTACTGACTTGGAAATTTTGATAATTGCATAAAATAAGGATAATATTTGCTAAACTAATTCATTTAAATTTTGTACTTAAGATAAAAGGAGAATGCTTTTGTATAATTCTTATGATTAAACAAAAATGATATAAATATATTGTTCGAAAAAAAAATCTGTGAAGTCAACATAATATGGTTAGAAGTTTATTGCCAACTTGCGAATATATGTCTAAAAGTCTGAAATATAAGCTTAACTTACTTCAACAAAATACATTTCTTGAGCGAATTCTGGCTTGTTATCATTAACATCGAGAACATTAAGAATTACTGTAATATTCGCATAACGTGCCGGTATTCCTTGATCTCGAGCTTGTATTACCAACATATACTTATTGATCACTTCGAAATCCAATAAAGATAGTAAGCTTAATTCTCCACTCATTGAATGAACCGCAATAGGACATGGTGGGTCACTTTGTATTAATGAATATAATACCTGTCCGTTCTGAAGTTTTTTGAATTCCATCAAAGTAAGACGCAAAATAAACATGAATGCCTATAATCATTATAATAAATAATAGCACGACAAACTGAATGATGTAAAGAACCTTTCCACGATCTTTATCATATGCCTGCACAACAAAAAACGCCTGATGAATTGGATGATCTTCTTCAATGTATGATTCAATTTTATCAATTTCAAATGTTGGATCATTATCATTAGTATCAATTATCTTGATTAAAACTTGCGTATGATTTATCCCATCACCTTCCATCCATGCCTACAAATATTCAACTAAGTTCATACTTGCATAGGCTGAATATTAAGATTTTAATGTTTTTTATACTTCATAAATAGCAAAAACTATCACTTATTGCATATTTATACTTTTTTAATGTACAAACTGGATGATAGTTTATTAAATACATATTTTATAATTTACCTGTACATTGAGCAATACTTCATCCCATTTATCTGCATCCAAATATCGATCAACGCTAATCTGCCCTGTATTTGAATCAATCGTAAAGAAGTGATCTGGATCACCAGAATATATACTGTAACTTATTGGTAGTGGTCCATGTGCTTTTACCTAAAAAATTTTTAAAATTTGCGTAATTGAATAATTTAATAATGAGGAAAGAAGTGCAATAAATAAAAATTGTTTAATTATTTGCAATTAAGATTTGGAAATTTTGAATTAATACTAATTGAAAGTTTTTTCTTCGTCAAAAATTAAAATTTATTCAAAGAATTAAAATGTGTTCACCTGTCCAATTTCAATGCCTGGAAGAATTTCTTCCGTCACATCAAATTTATACAAAGTGCTCGTAAATACTGGAGATGGTGTAGTGGCACTGATAACACTGATATGAACTACTGCCTACAATTTCAGTAAACTATTAAATGATATTAAATTATTTAATTATTTTAATCACTTAATTACATCAAAAGAGCAAAAAAGAAATTCGAATTATGAAAATTACTGTTTAAACTACGGATCATTTAAATTATTATTTTGATTTGTTATAAGAAAAAATCAATTTATTCTAATTTAATAATTAATCTCAAAATTTTCAAAACAAACCTGATCTTCGCTGACTAATCCTCCTCCGTCAACAGCTTCAATTCTTAATTCATAGTTTTTTCTCAACAATAATTCTTGTACATACAAGCGACCTGATTTTGAATCTAGCCAAAAAGTATTGGATCTATTTGTTACTAATCTGTAACTCACCTAAAATCAAAATAAATATCAAAAATTAATCAAAAAATAGTTATGTTTGACATGAAATTTTTATGACCATCAAAAGTTAGAAATATTTTATTCTAAAAACTATTATTAGCGCGATGAATATTTTAGATTTCAAAAAGTACAGGTGCATATATTATGAAGGAAATATGCATATTTACAACTCGTTTAGTCAAATATTTACTTACTGTCTTCAAATTTGCTTTTTTATTTACTTAAAGTAAAAAAAAAAACATAGAATTAATAAAATTATTGTTTTTGAGATACTCACTTTTCCAAAAAGTCCGCTGTCAGCATCGTTTGCAGAAAGCAGAATCAATGGACTTCCAATTCCAGTATTTTGCCGTACAGACACGTTATAATACTTAGGATAAAAAATCGGTGGGTTATCGTTCACGTCCTGCACATAAATATTTACGAGAGTCCTACTTGATGCTCCATCTGAAATCGGGCATCAGTCATATTGAATACTTTAAAAATAGCAAGGCAAAACTATTCAGTTTGCAAAGTAAATACTTATTTGAGCCAATCACTTTTCATAGATATAAAAATTATCGTAAATTTCTAGTGATTCGTACTCATTAACCAAAAATTTTATAAGCTATATGCGTACACTCACGCAATATTGCTTGTACGTACATGTAAAAATTAAGTACGCAGCATTCATGAATTAAAATGCGAGAAACCAAATTAACTGTGAATTAATGAGAATGAAAATGAATCTAGTAAGATACGATGCACACGTGCGAATCCTAAAAAACGTGCATCCGTGTCTTTATTACTCAAAATGCGTTCGTCACTATGGTATGTTTATAAGTGAATATTACAGGCTTACGTGACTAATGAAATAAAACTTATTTGTAGCAGCTTATAAATTACAAATGAATTACACGTAATTTTATCATAGTTTTGTTATCAAGTAATTAGTTACCAAATTAGTGCTTGAAAGCTGCAAGAAACTTGTATTTAAACCATGCATAATATACTGCTGTACGGTAAACATTACTTTCGCATTATGCAGTACATTTTCTTTGTAGAATAATGCCGATAATTGCTTAATGTTAGTGAAATACGTGAAAGAACACGCATATTCAAAATTTGCCGCACACTTGGTACTTGTATGCTAATAGTTGCTTACCCTTCAGACGGCATAAAAGATTTTTTGAAAAAGCTAACTCAGATTTCGCGCATAAACATGAAGTTGGTAAATGCTATTTTGTTCATAGTCAAGATTGCCGAGAAGGCAAATATTTCCAGAATTAATATCAATTCGGAATAATTTGGCTACTAGACTGGATTCAAGCAAATCATAGCGGATGAACGTTTCATTGCCACAACCATTACTTGCTGTGACCTGAAATGAAGTCAGATACTTTACATTACTCTAAGATTGATCATGAAGTTGCAACTTCATTAAAAGCTTTAAAATTTATATCAAATATGAATCATTTATATTATCATCAGGTTTACCTTGAATAATCATCTATAGGATTCATATTTCATATAAATTTTAAAGCCTAACACATTTTGACTGATGATTTTACTAACTTCTTTTATAAGTACAATCAAAGCGAATATTTAGCAAACTTTTATATTTGTTTCTGGAACGAAAAGCAGCTGAAGCTGATGATGAATACTAGAAAAACAAAGGTGATGTGCAAATAATGATACAAGATAGGCCTAGTTTCAGCTTAATCCTAGGCTTTTTGTATAACTTCAGTTAATTTTTCCAAAACTTTAATGATATAACCTCAGTGATATTCAAATACTCTCTGTAATTCATCAGTTAGCTCAGTCACAGCAGCTTTTAGTTTCTTTCAGCCTTTAGTGCTTTCAATGATTTTTAAAGCAAACTTACTTATTTATTTAACTAACTGGAAGCTTAAGGAAATTTTAAAAATTTAAAAATTTCAGCAAGCCATCGAAATGTTTACTTGTCCTTCGCTACATTATATTTATAAGTTATTTCAATATTTAATCTCAAAAAATTCACTTTTTCACACTGCTCTTTCTGACATTACCATGGAAACTACTTTTTCTGCACAATGAACAAACTTTAATTCCATATCATAAGATGTTATTATTTGACATAGTATTTTTCAACGTGTGAATTCATTTTTCAACGTGTGAATTCATTTTTCAACGTGTGAATTCATTTTTTAACGTGTGAATTCATTTTTTAACGTGTAAATCCCAAACTTTACAATATTTGTAGATTTGTCATGAGTTTAGCTTTTCAAGACTGAAAATAGATTAGTTTTTTAAATTGTTGTGCAGCTAATATTAAAAATTATTTTTAACGAGTAAAATAATAGTTTATACTAAATATTTACAATCACATTCGTTCCAACATCGCAAATAAATAGACAGTAAATGTCTTTTGTAGTGTTTAATTTTTCAAGACTTAAAACTAGTTCTACTAAAATCTAAAAATTGAATTGAATAAAAATTCATTTGCAACGATTTTATGACTTGTGACTAGTTTATTTTCTGATCAGAATTAATATTGGTAATTAATTACTGATGAATTGATTATTTTCATTTAATTAATTAAGTTAATTGAACACGAATATTTGATAAAATATGTCATTAAAATGCATCCCATTGCTGTTCCTTAATATGGGTGGTGAGATGATATACATTCTACAACAGCGCCTACAGGTAAAAAATTATTGCTTATATTTTAAAAATAAAATATTCCTCAGAAGTTTTGCATGTTAATAAAACTTTTACACAAATAAAACTAACTTAATTAATTTTAATTAATTAATTTCAAAAATGAATAAAGTTTTAGTCAGTTTTTAATCAAAATTGAGCAGTAAATTAATAAATTATGTATTAAAAAAGACTCAAAATTAATTGTTGAAGAAATTTGCAGTATTTCAAAAATTAAAAAAATTTTTTTTAGGCTCAAAATATAAGCGAAGAGAAAGCAACGCGAGTGCTAACTGATGTTTTGTATAATTTTTTAAATGAAAAATTTATGAAAGAAATATTCAAGTTGCAAGTAATATGCTCAAATCAAATTATGCGAATATTATTTGAAAAACTTGCAAATTGCAGTATAATGCGCTTGAATGAAACGAGGCTAGTCACTTATGTATTTTTAAATTTGTGCTTTGATATTCAACTAGCTTAAGAATAGAATTTGGTTTTAATTAATATTTAGTTCAAGTTAAACTTCTGATCTCAATTTCGAATTAGTGTAATTAGAATTTCCGATTAAACAGTACTAGTAATAATTAAGGTAATATTAAGTTAGTAAAGCTTCAATAATTATTCATCATTTTTATGTTAAACTATTATTTTGCTCAACGAAAATAAACATTAAGTAATTCCTCAAATTATGCAACTCAGTTGGAGATTACTGTTTTTTAGTATTAAATTGACCAAATACATGATAAACTTTATAAATGTGACAGCCGTTAATTGCAAGTAAATATCTGTATTTATTTCAAAAAATATTAATATGCTTTATTATTTAGACTTTTAAGTTCCTACTTTTTTTGATTGTCATAAATGGAAATTACAGTATGCACAAGCTGTATGATTTAATAACGATGGTATGCAAATATCAGCTACAACTTTCTAGCAGCCCAAAACAGCTTGCTATGATCACATTAAATCATTTGGATGGAATCCGAAAGATTTTACCTAATGATGCAACTTTGGGTCAACTTTTGGACAAGACACATCATTTGGTCGGCAGTATTGTATAATTATTGACCTCTTGATCATTACATTTAGATAGTACTAAATTTTTTATCAATTTAATTTCTAAATCAAGTAGTAGAACAAATTTTTCGTATTTGAAATCAAAAATTTGAACTTACTGCTTATTTTTTTAAATAGTTTCAAGTCAAATTTCATATCTTCCAAATGCTATATGAAACCTTTGTACGAATAATTTGACTTATTCCTAATTTTATAATTTAAGATGAGTAATTTTTTTAATGAATGATTTTAGGTAACGGTTAGGTATTACAACATTCCCCTCTGGGAACAAGCAATGATAAGAAGTGATTTGTTAAATTTCTTTCAGGTAATGCTAAAACTTGTTCAAGCTATTTTTTATTAAAAAGCGAAATACTGCATGATTATTTATTTAAATAGCAAAGATGCATTTTATGATGTTCAATTTTAAAATGCAGTAAAAATGTGCCAACTGATATAAAAGTAATAGAAAATGATAAGCAGTGATTAGCATAAGAGTATATCTGATATTCCATCTTCAAGTAAATACTATTTTCAAATATTTTTTTGCACTACTATTAAAATAAATATTATTTTTCAAAGTAATAATATCTTGAATGACATAAGTAAGGCTAAGAAAGTTATTGTGATCTAATTGACATACATTGTTACTGATTTGATATAGCATCTGATATCTGAGAAAGTTGAATAAACTGTAATGAAATTTTATTTTGAAAGAATTTTGCTTAATTTTAGGATGCGCGAGTAAATGTGTCAATTTTATTGCGTTCAAATAAGCAACTAAATACAGGAAGATTCATTTTGTTTCCAAATGGAAACTACAAGTTACCTTTCGGTGGTAATCCTCCCGGACAGATACAGTATTTCAAAGATTTTGGAATTATAAGAACGGAAGTATTTCCTATTAGAGATTACTCGATTAATTATGAATCGTGTGAATCAAAAGTCTTTTTTTATTAGAAATTATTTTAATTACATGTTATAAAAATTATAGTTATACTACAGAAGCAATTGTACTGTATACTTAAAGTAAGTATCTAATTTGAATATGAGAATGTAGCAAGTAATTATAGTAGTGCAAAGTAAGTCATGCAAATACTTCTTGACACATAAAATAGTCATTAATATAATTATATATGTTATTCGAATTTATTCTTGCAAATATGTTGACTGCTGAATACCAAAATTGCATCGGATACTTCATTATTTTACTGCTTTGTAATAACATATTTTTATTTTTAATTATACTAGCTAATTTGAGGGAAGTGCTCAATTGCATGCAAATGACAGAGGTACTGATCTTGGTACTAATATGTATCCAGCAGCAGAGGAAAATGTACAGGTGTTTTTGTTTACTTTAATTAAGGAACAAGTATAACTCTAATCTATTTAATCTATTGTAATAATTTTGGAAGTTTAGGTTAAAGGTCAAAAAGATAAAATGAATAAAGGCTATCAAAAGGATGCTTTATTATGTAATGAATTGAAGCTGCTCTCAACGCTAATTGCCACTGACATACAACAACAACAAGAAGGTTCACTTCTTCTCAGTCCTTCTCGATGAACTAAAAATCTAAGAAATACATTAAAAAATTTGATCTTTTCAGATTTTACTTTAAATTTATTTATGGAAAATTTGGAAGAAAATACAACGCAAATTGAACAAACATTTGCTGAATTCACGCATTTGGACGTTGGAAAAGATCGTAAAACAGTGAGTGCTGCGATTGCTAATGTGAGATTTACTAGCAAATTTTATTTAATTACCTTTTTTCGATTCAGTAAAACTAATAAAACTGTACATTTTTATGCAAATTTTTTCACTCATTACTTTCAACCACATAAAAACTCATGAATTCAATAAGAGTTTTTGGATATAACAAAAAGACTTGAAAAATTATTCAAAAAATTATTGAAATAAAAAGATATTCCGTTTAAGTAAGTCTTTTAAATTTACTACTAACACAAAAAGATTCAAATTTCAAGTTTTAACTTTAGAAAAATTTTTTGATACTAAATTATAAGTTGCAGAATGATGTGAAGGAAATTGATAAGTTATTTTGTAGCTAAATGAACACTTTTACTTTGAATTGATTCCATTTTTTTGAATAATTTTAGCTTAAGTAAGATAAATTAATGACTTATTCAATTTAATCATTCAATAACTTTTTATTATCCCACTCTGAGCAAATATAAATTTAAATTTACATCTCCCCAATCTCTAGTTTTCATGTAAGATGGAAGATAATTAGAAATGAGATACATCTGGCAAATTATCCGGTTGACTGCTGTTGAAATTCACCACGATAATTCCCGGGAAGTCCCAAAACTTTCTAATTTTCAAGGCCATTTAGAATTGTATACTCTAAACGTATTTTGACACTTTAAAGAGCGGATATCATATTGGTTATTATCGAAGAAATTGTCCAATTTCACGCTAAAATAGTCACTTTACCTTTACGTGTCTTTACTTTAATCGTAAATATCTCTCAAAATTATTTATGTAATAGCACAAAAATCTTTCCTCTCGATAATTTCAAATAAATGTAAGCATTTTGAGATTTGCAAGTAATTGTAAAGATAGTATTGTCGAGAATGACGTAAGTGTTTTTTAAGTCAGCAATTTTAAAAAAGCCACACAATTATGCTTATTTGATGCATTTTATTCAAATTTTCACATTTATACAAAGCAATTTAGAAGTGTTTTGCCAGTTTTTTGCTACTAAATTTTGAACCTTTTCCAATTTTTATTATTGCATATTTTTAATGCAGTAAACTTAAATATTTTTATTTAAATTAAAAAATATAACTATGCAAAATTTGCATGAATTCAATGCACTTGTCAAAGTGATAATTATAATTTAATATGCATAGTTTTTTTAAGTTAGAGCTGGACGAACCGACGAAGTCATTTGAAACACTGAAGAAAGGTGAAGAAATGCTGACTTTACTAGATGAAGCAGTAAAAAGAACTTTTAGCAAGGAAAAAACTTGCTTAAAGCCACCGATTGAATTGAAAAAATAAATTTTTCATGATTTTAAAGACTTTAATTAAATTACTTTTAGAGGTCAAAGGTAAAGACTTCGGCAGGTCTTCACTTGCAAGTTAGCTTCAAATGAAACATATAACGGATACCAAAGCATAGAGTAAGAGTAATGTATAGATATCAACTTTTGAAAGTAATTACTGAAAATAAATTTGTACAAAAGAAACTTTCAGCTGAATTAAAACTATTATTAAGAATTTGAGTTAAAAATTGGAAGTTTGAGTTCAGAGTTAGCTTAGAGTTAATCTTCAGTGCTCGCATTACTTTAGGCCATGGCATACTAATTTAATGACTGCGTATTTAAAATATATAATTGTGTAATTATGCTACAGCACATAAATAGGTTGAAAATCATATTTTTAGGCTTAACTCAAACCAATTTAGACTAAAATTCGAATAAATGCATTTAAGCGGAAAGTCATTAACGTCACTGAAATAGTCATAAATTTATTAATCATAAATTATTTAAAGTATGACACTGACTGACCTTTAAGTTTCTGTCAAGTGGAAATGATGCAAATTATAATTTCATATGTAATTTAGTTTTTTGCAAAACTTTAATTGAAATTTGTAATTAAATTAAAAATTAGATACTACTTTTACATTGAATTTTCCTTTTTGCTTTTGCTTATATTACATTTCTAATTCAAATATTTTGCACACAGAAGTGTATATGTATGAATGGAATAACTGATCCTTAATTTTTATTAAATATTTTTGATATTATTATTTTATTGTACGATGAAAAGTAATTTCATTCTGTCACCGAAATTTATGCAATTTTTTAAGTAAAAAATATAATTCAAAATAAGCTCGCACTTACAATGCAAAGATGGATATTTTGAGAAAAGTTAAAATCTTACAAATGCATTAAAAAAAAACAATAAAATTGTTTGAAATAATAATACATTACTTAATAAAGTATACTGCCTTACAAAATAAAGAAGAATTGGAAATAAAATATTTGCCAGAATTTTGCATTTTATGCAAATTTATGCACAGTTCATTTGCTTCCGATAACTTTTTGTTTTTGTTTTTTTGTGATGTTTTTAAAATTTTTATACGCATAAAAATTGCAAACAAAGTGTAAAGTATACTAAGAAATTAAATTATTACTAAATTATTTTCCGGATAACTAATTTATCATAAGAAATCATACTACTAAATATTGATAAAACAGTAACTACTGTGGTAAAAATAATGAATGAATGTTTTTCATACAGTATCAGTCCTTAATTACCGAAATGACAGTCTTTGACAGTTCAAAGTGACCCTCAAACTATTCAATCCTTAAACCATTCAATTTTCCCCATAACTTTGCACTTAAATTGTCGAAATTTGTCAAGTCCTTCTTCACATTATTTAGCATTCTTAGCATTGTGTAAACATTTTATTCCACTTACGAAAGCTAAACGAAAGATATTATTAAGTGTGAGTGACCACTAGATGACCTTACCTTTGTATTTGCTTCTGGTCACTTATTCATTTACTGCCCGCAAGAAAGACTCTTTTCTTTTCTTTTCAAGAGGCTGACAATCGCTGCTGACATACGCAAATTATTTATGCAAATTATAGGATTAAGAAGTAAAGAAGCAAATAAAGTCCTTTATTTGTTAATATCTTTGATATATAGTCAGTGAGTGAGCCATCAAAAGATATGAGCAAAGGATTATGTGAATAATTTGTTTGCATTACTTATAAAAAGAAGATTAACGCATCTTTTACCAAGAAACAATCAATTAATACATGCTCTAGTAGTCATTCGATTACTAAGTAACTTCAATTTATAATTCAAAATTAATTAACTAATTAATTAGTTAATCAATTACTTAATTATCAGCAAATCAATCATAATTAAACATTGCATAAAATTAAGAAGATCCCACAAATATATATAAAATTTAAAATAGCTTTCTTCTCAGGATTTCAATTACTTTTTGATTATGATAATGCCAAAAATGTTTCCTCTACTAATAAATATTATTAAACTATTGAAAAAACAAACATCTTTAGTGAGAATTAAAAATTTTTACTGTAGAGGTCAAAAGTTCAAAAGATCAAAACTTAAAAATTACCAACATTAAAAATATTTGAGAATGTTTGCATATGCATTTAGTGTTTAATAAATATTTGTGATAGACAAGCACAATATTAATATTATTAAAATAATACTTGTACTCAATTAAATGCATTCGAAATTTTTTCAACTTTTTAAATTGATATTTCATTCATTTATGAAATTCTTCTCTTAATATTAATTTGTTAGTATTTTATGAATATAATTGTAAACCAAAACAGCCATAGATGTCAAAATAGCTGATCGTATTTTAAGTAATTTACAGATCTCACAAAAAGTTTAGATGGTTCAACTTATTTAATTTGCTTGCAACAAGGTAATTAATTTTTGATTTTTAAAGATTTCAAATATGACTGAGGATTTTTGAAAGTTGATTGTTACAAGTAGAATGAAAACTATGATTAACTGACCTTGAGTAGACAAATTCCTGACCTCACGTTTTCTTTGACTATGACATCATATAATGGTCTGGTGAAAGTTGGTGGACGAGCGTCACTTTCTATTATTTGAGCGATAACTTGAGCAGTAGAAGATAGCATGGGATTGCCAAAATCTTGGGCATGAACTTGAAAGTGATGCTCAGCAAGAGTACACTCAAACTGAAATATCAATTTCCATTGCAGTATTTGAGTATTTGAATTTTTAAATCATTGCTGAGACAAATCACTCAAAAGTTTGAATACGTAAAAGTGACGCACGCTTTCATGAACGCTTAGGACTCCCGTATCAGAGTCAATTTCGAACAAGTTTGTACCAGTAAGATGATATTGTATACGGCTATTATTGCCGATATCAGCATCAGTTGCTTGAATTCGAACTAACTTTTGATGTCTAGCAGAATGATCAAAAGTTACGCGTATTGTTGAATTAACAAATTTTGGTGCATTATCGTTTACATCAAGAACCTTAAATAAATTTTTTTTTTTAAATTGACTTAAAAACTAATCTTTGAAGTAAAAATGTAGAGCAAAACATTACTGTAATCATAATTTTAGAGTAACCTTTGAACTTTGCAAAGAATAGAATATTAGTTAGCTAATGTACCTCGAAGAAAATGGGAACTTGTAATAGTTGATTTTGCTGAGATTTCATAGCAAAAAATAAGTTGTATTCAAATTTTGATTCTCGATCAAAAGGCCCACAAACAATTGCCAGGTAAACGCCAGGTGAATCTGTTTCTTGAACACATACAGAGTCACATCCTTCCACTGATAATGTGCTAAATAATTAAAATGTCATAGGTCGTGCCAAAAACAAGTCAAAAATTGAGTAAATTGACTTCAAAGGAAAGTTATGTTATAAAATATTTTTAAAATACAAAATTTTGTCATATTTATTGTTTCTAAAATTAATTAAGAGTTCAACTTTTTTCACTGATAATTTTAATAAAGTGTTTCATTAGGCTGGATATTTTATCCAGTAAAAATTATAATCAAAACTTGGATTTTCTATCAAAAAGTATTTGAAAAGTGAAAAAATACAACCTTTTCTCGGGAGCATTTTGTACAGCAATTCTAGCAATTATATGTCCAACTGTAATATTTTCAAGCACCTCAGGTTTATTTTTATCAGTAAGCCAAAAGATATCCAATGCAAGCTTCGGTTGATCGCTTGTTTCTACGACAATACTTAAAAAAGCCGTAGATTCAAGTGGTTGTGGCAGGCCATGATCGCTAGCAATAATTAAAATGTCATAGGTCATGCCAGAAACAAGAATATTTGGGTCAGTTACTTGTACAATACCACTTTTTTCATCAATTTTGAACGGTAATTTCTGATCAGCGTAGTTCTGTAATATTATATTTCTGCTTCAGTTTTTATACTTTCAGAATGCGAATAAAGGATTTTAATTGAATTAATACAATATTTTAAAATAAATCTTCATGTTTATCAACTTCGAAATCAATACCTGTAGTTTTGCCTAAGAAATTTATTGATAATTAATAATATCCATGTTTAGGATATACTTTATATTTGAAGAGTTTTTAAATTTCTTGAGTGTAACAACAGTAATAATTCTTAACTAGACAAATCCTTCATAAAAGTTGTCATTCAAAAAATTATTACCATTATTTATTTAATGAATAAAAAGTAGAAATGTAATTGCTAAAAAAACAAACTTTAGCGATTGAATAAGCAACTCGAGCATTTTCTCCTAGGTCAGGGTCAACAGCTTGAATTGTAGTTACTACATAATTCTTTTCTGGATTCCAGGGGATAACTGCATTGTATCTTGATTGACTAAACTCGGGAGCATTATCATTTACATCCAAAACCGTTACATTCACTAGCATGCTACTACTCCTGTAATGTAATGATTATTATTCGAATATTTTTAAAAATTTCTACTAAACATTTACTAAAATAACTTAAGTAATTATTCATTAAATATATACTTTTGTGGTAGAAAATTGGAGAAAAAATAAGAATAAATCCAATTATCAAAACCTATTTTCTTATATATCCACGCAAAATATTTCAGTGCTAAATTATATATCCACGCAAAATATTTGAATACTAAATTTTGGTTGCAATTTCTATCTGACTATTATAGCTTTTCAAAATTCTACTCAAAATAAAAATATAATGAGATATATTTTAAATAGATAAAGATGATTAAAAAACTGCATTAGTTTCGTAATTAATTTTTTTGCATAAAAATAATTTTTATGCAAATTTCCATTTTTTGGTGTGCTTCACATATTGTTCAATTATGTAATTTACAATATGACTAAAAAACTGAAATAAGTTCCATTTTCTTACCTAGACAAATGTGATATGCCTTAATTGAACAAAAATATACCTTCAATATTTTCAAAATTAGAAGTGAATTACGTTGGTTAGTAACTACTATTTTAACTAATTCTGTCTCAAACTTGCGAATTTTTTAACGAAAACACTTTTTAACTTCAAAATTCGCAATTATTTTTTAATTTAGAAACTGCAATCAAAACTTAGCATTCAAATATTTTGAATTTAAGAATAAAAAATATGACTTTTGGTGACGAAGTCAAATTCTTTTTGACATTCATAAGAACTTTTACTAAAAGTGTTAAAATGTTATTATGAGTTCTTTGTGTATCGCATTGAATATGTAGTGAAGAGTGAATTTAATTTACGTAATTCTGACTCAAATTGAGTGAGTAATAAAAAAGAACCTCGGTGGATTTCCTCCATCTACAGCTTCTATGATCAGTTCATAGTGATCACGGTATTCTCGATCAAGTTGTCCATTAACGATTAGGTCAACATAAAGCATCGAAGTGATGCGTTTGCTCGATAATCTAAATTAATCGAAAAAGATTCGATAATTAGAAAAAATAATCGAAAAATGTTTTGAATTGTGACAATAACTGAAATCAAATTAATTAATATTTAATTATTGAAAATTTAAGTTCAATGCTTTATATTTCTAAAAGTATATTTAATTTAATCTTCCCAAACTGTGCTATGATTAAAAATAATTCACAATTATTAGTAATTTTGTCGCTAATTAGATTGCAAATTTTTTTTGTTCCGTCTGAAAAGTTATTAGTTGAAACGATTTCTGATGCACTTTTAATGGAAATAAACTGATTGCATTATCAAAAATAATTTAAAAAAATACCTAAATGCATTATTGACATTTCCTGATAAGATATGATATTTTGCTACTGATAACGGTAGAGAATCGTTGTCTATTGCTGGTGGCAATGAAGTTTCTGAATTTATACCAGCAAATTCAGAAATTGCTACCTAAAAATGCTTGTAAGTTTTGTGTGCAATTTTTTTGCCACTTTCATGCCTGTAATCTTTGGTAAGTTTATCAATGCTAGATAAATTTTAGACTTTCCGAGTGTCAACTCGCAAAGTTTTTTAACTAAATATCAAAAATCTTAATTAAAACATTTGATGATAATTTTACTTTGTATTTGACACAAGCAATAGTTAAAAATAATCTTTTAAGTTTTATTTGACTTTTTGACTTAATCCAAGTTCAGTATTTAATAACACCCTTATCTCATTTTAAATGTTGCAAATTTTTCCCAAAATGTCTGAAAAAAAGCAAATGATAAAAAACTATAAATGTTGACCTTTCTCTGAACTTTCACCTTGCTCTGGTCTTGAAGTTTTAAAAAAGTTACAAATAAATTTGACATAATCACAAATTTAGTTCTTAGAAATTTTATCTTTATAGTCAATTTCATGTAATAATCACTTAATTTTGTGATTTCAAATTATATAAACTGATTTTCCCTCTCACAATTTTCTTGTTTACAAGCCATAAGTTTTATTAAATTGAGTTTTGGATATCCAACTGTGACATTCACATTCCTCAGCTACACATTATTACTATTATTATTATTATTATCATCGTTATTATTGTTGTTGCAACTATTATTGTTGTTATTACCACATTATTATTATGATTATGCTATTGTTGTTGTTGCGCTCTTTCATAGAGGAAACAAAGTTTGGAGTATACCTTGCAGTGGGATTTAACTGGATTATAAACTAAAAATCGAAACCTTACTCTTACAATAATGACGTAAATAAACAGAAAACAAAGCAACAACTCCGTAACAGAAATAGGCATGAAAAACTTTTTGTAAATAACTGTCAAATTATTTGCCAGAAAAGGCCTTAAATATAAAATATCAGCTCGGATCGGCAATCATTTTGAAGTTAATTCGGAGATTTTTGTACAGTATCAATGATTCAGTCATGTCCATACGTAATTAATATTCCATTCATGAATTCATTTACCTATTGACCTTTTCTAACGAAGCATACAATTAATGAAGAAAGAGACAAAAGGTCATTTAAAATTTGAAATTAGCTTTCATGTAAATTTAACTTTTTCTATTTCTAAACTGTTAAATTTTTATCTATTCAATTTGCAGTGAATAGATAAAAAGAAAATATTTAAAATTTTCCAGCATCTAATGAAAATGATTTTCAATGTAGTTACATTTCGAATAAGGTCAAATGACCGGTGCGCTACAGTTACCTATTCTTCATATATACTTATTTCTTTCAACTTTCGCCGACAAAATTAGTTTTAGTTTTAAAATTTGTTTTTGCTGACCGTTTATAAGGATGTTGATCACTAATGACCTCTTGCAGGTCACAAATGAATGATCAGTATCATCAACATATTTACAACTTACATAAGATGACTGCGAATAATTATCTTCAAAGAAAGTATAAATGATTACATTCTGCATGTTTAACGTGTTTATTACATTTTTTCCAAGGATTCACAGTCTTCACTAAAAATTTGAAACAAAAAATTTCCGCAAAAAAACTTAAAAAATGTTAATGTATTTTTTTTCTTGAAAATAATAAAAAATCGACCTTCGACAAGATTTTTGGTTTTTGAGCAAAAAAAATAGTGGCAATTAAAAGACATTTATTGGATTTACCTGAAATTGACCTCACTAAAAGGATACCATAACGGGAAATGGTTGATAACTTAAAAATTAAATATGCGTACTTCAACTTCAGTGAAAAAGAAATTTTGCATATTTTCAAATTTTAATTGAATGAGTAAAAATAAAAACTGTCAAAACTTACGTCAATTGATGAAACTGGAAATGTTGGCGTATTATCATTTTCATCAATGACATTAATAATTACGTGAATTGCACTTCCGTGTGAAGGATTATTCATAGGGATAGCTATTAAATGATACGACGAAATCAGTTCGTAATCCAATTCACGCAAAACACGTATCTCACCACTTATTTTTTCCACATTTAAATACTGTAAATAGATAACAAAAATTTGCTGTTAAATAATATTTGAAAAATTCTTGTATATAATTTTTTATATCCCACAAATAAAGAAAAATTAGTGAAGGAAAAACTAAACCTGAATTATTTTGAGCTCTAATTTCAATTTCAAGATGTTATTCGCTATAGTAATAAAATGTGTAATTCATTGCTTTATTATTGTTGCGATTTAAAATTATTACAAAAGTTTATTTTAATTTTTATGTGGTGCAAAACTAATAAAATATTAAATGAAAGGAATTCAAATGAGATTCAGTACTTTCGTTGTCTTCTGCTTTTCATACAGTCAAAAATCCAGTTTCTATCAGCTCAATACATCATGAATATATAAAGCATTGCTTGTTACATCAGAAAATACTTTTGGTTTCTTGATGAAAAAAGACTTTTATTCAATCTTCTTAATGTAAATCTAATTTACTAAAATATGTAAGTAACAAAAGATACAAAATATTGCTCTAAAAACTAATTAAACGGTAAATTTAGTGTAATTTAGTGCATTCACGAAAGTTCACTGTTTTTATTGTTTTTATTGTTTTTTTTGGATTTTTTTTGCTACATAAAAAATTCAGATTGCTTCAAAAGGTAATAAATTTTATTATTGCCTTATTGTTCTTTGACTTGAATTCCTAAATTCTGTTTTTTTAATTTGGGTCAGATACTCCTGCAGTTAATGACAGATAAAATATGAATATTTTATCAATGCTCAGTTATTATCCGTATAATTCTATTCAGTACTTGTGATTAAAAATATTTAGTAGTCTTCAAAAGTGACTAATTTTCAAACATAAATGATTAGTACGAATAAGTCAAAAACTGTTAATATCAAAGAATGCAAACAAGCAAAATACTTTAGCTTTATTGATAACTGAAGACTTTTCTTTATTTTCTTAATGGAAATTGAATTTGCTAAAAGAAATTTCTTTAATTTAATTAATGTTTGCAAAAAGTTTTCAAATTTTAAAAGCTTTCATAGTACTTATTAATTTTGATATTACTTTTAAATTCCACACATTCAAAAATAATAATTTGTTAATGTGATTATGCTCGTTCTTGGCATTTTACATTTAGCTATTGTTTCGAATTTGAATTTTCATACAATGAAACATTTGGAGCATTTCAAATTTTTAAAAATCTTCAGGTTGTTTTTTAAATTAATTTAATTTTTAATGTTTTGTATCTTTAGGAAAGATTAGTTCTTGTGAGATATTTTAAAAGTCTTATCATGAAGATTCACCTGCGAGTAAATTCAATTTTCTAAATTATCGCAAAATATTTCACGCTTACTGTTACTTACTTTATAACAAAAAACAGTAAAAGTGTAAATAATTTGTTCAAAAATTTTTAATAATTAATTTTTAAAATTAATTCTTAATTAATTAAGTGGAACTCATTAGAATGAACTGCATTAGACTGCATGTAATATGTTTGTAAATATAAACATGAAATCGTATTGCAATATATAATGCTACAAGACTTTTTAATGTAGCTAAAGTATAGTCTAGTTATCTCACTAATTAATAATATTTAGTAATAAACATAAATTCAGCAACTTTTTCTAATAACAAAATTAAGACTTACTTTTTCAGTTTCCAAAGTATCATCTGGAAAAACAATATAGAAATTTGGTACAATACCATCAGACGGTGCTCCATTGATGTAACCAATTATATATCCAACAGATACATTTTCAGAAACATTGAAAATTTGTTGCCTTTCACTTACAATACTAACAATTAATACAGTAATCAGCAAAAATGCGCGGTAAATACGCATCAGGAGTATTATTAGCGTATTAATTTATAAGAAGAACAAACAGACATAGGAAATATATTAAAAAAATAAGCCCTTTGAATTTTCTGGCTAGGTGCCTGGGTCAGTGTTTAAGGTCAATCACACCATTATTCTTGAACCTGAACAGGTGAATTCTCGTGATAAAAATGGAATGATGTTGATAACGATCAACGACATTGAGTAGTATCTCTAATCAAGCAACTATTACTTCACATAACATTTTCGCCGTAAAAGTATCATTAGTACTTAATGATTAACTTTTGCTTCGCTTAAGATGAATAATAATACCGGGAAAATTATCATTAAAAGTAACGACTAAAATAGCAGTTTTTCAATACTTTTATGCTATCATTAAAAAAAATTATATTATTTGTTTCATTAAAAAAAAAGTTATTCAAAAGCAATTTGAATTATGCAAATGAGATGATTGGAATTCAAAAACTTTCTGTTATTAATACCATCCGTTACTATGGCCATTACTATTATTATTATTTTTATTAGTATCGATATTATTTTAGTTGTTATTTTATATTAGCTCTTGCTAGCATGTACTAAATTTTTAAAAAGCTTGGAAAGAAAATTTGAAGCATACAAAAAGTTCAAATCTGGTAACAAGTAATAGTTATGGTACTTGTTGCAGATGAATACTTATGAAAACTGAGATAAGGTAACACAACGAAGTATTATCAAGTTTATCAGCGATTAACAATACATGCTAATCCTGTGATTGTAAATTGACAGTACTGATTATCAGTAAACTTTTTTCACACATTCAACTACACTTAATAGATAATGAAGATTAAATGAATTTGCAGTAGTGGAAGAATAGATCTGTTAGAGATAAAAGTTATTTTTGGTTTCAGTTAAGATTAAAAATTAGTCTTCGAATAATACTGTCTTAAATTTCAAGAAAATATGTTTAAAAAATGCAAAAATGACTACATGAGTAATTGTTGTTAGATAGATAATTTAATAATATGGTATATAAATTAAAAGTAGCAATTACTGTA